ATGTAGCAATTTTAAAACAGTGATCTGAGTGAGGCTTCCTTTTGCAGCGAGTAGTAAAAATGGCATTCTGTTTTAAATCAATAATTAAATCCCCCAGAGAGTTGGAATTGAAAGCTATATGTGAATTTGAATGAAACAATAACCATCAAATCAACACTTTTTTTTCCTTTGGTAGTATTAAATATTTATGGGAACATGGGAGAACTTGATTCTAAATGATGCTTTCACAATTATTATGCATTTTGCACTTTTAAATGACAAGAACAATCATCTTGTGGTTTCCTAAAGCTGCAATTTAATATAGATTAAATTATGCATGCTGCTGAATTACAAGGGAATTCTCTCCGCATCAGTTTGACTGTTGCCTGTACCTACCGTACGTTGCACTGGTGCTAGTGTTTGTGTAGTCAATAGTTACGCACTTGTTTGCTTCTCAACCTGACTACAGATTTCAGGAGTACATTTTGCTTGTCCAAGACGAGCTCAGTCATGATGGACTCTTCAGCATCCAAATGTAAAACAAAACATAGATTAAGTACTTTAAGCATATATAAACAGAGATTTCTGGGACACTTGGTACTTAAGGGAGGAGACAGACATGTTATATTACATTGTGTAAATACATCTATTGGTTAGAATATTGGCATCTGGTTTCCAAAAGATCGTAAGATATAGAGCACAATTAGGCTATTCAGTCCATTGAGTCTACTCTACCAGTCGAACGTGGTGTATATGCTTCTCAACCCCAATTTCCAGTCTGCTCACCATTTCAGAATGAATTGATGCCAGCAGCAGAGGATAATTACCTAAAGGTGAAGATTGGAAACTGAGATTTGTGTTGTGTGGCACATTATAATGTGAGTTATTTTGTGAAGATGTCTGATAGTATGTGTAAATTGTCAGGGTATGATTACACACTGATGTGCTCTGAACCCAATGAAAACAACCAGAGTCAGATTGTCAGTTTGAGCAACTCGCTTAGAGGAAAGCAACATAAAGCTACAATACAATCTAACAATCCTATTTCATTTTGCTTTTCTGTTAATTTCTTACATTGTACTGAAATTGGCGTCAGTGTGATTTTTTTTTAAAATATAAAAAGTCTCTGGTCGAACACACTCCCTCTTTAAGGTACACAATATCAGCGGGAGGGCAGTAAGATGTTTCCTGTCAGAAGGTACCTTTTGCATTTTTAAACCAGTACATTTTGTTCAGATTGGTTTCCATCTGAAAAGGAAACAATTGCAGGAAGCAGAGGGAAGGTCCCATTGTTAGATGATGCTGAAAGCTTGGGTATGGTAACTTTGAGGTCCCAGCTCCATCTTGTTTTTCAAAAATTAGAGCTGACAAATGCCTTTTTTTAATAAACCAATTCAATGCTTCAGCGCTGGCAGGTTTAATGAAAGCGAAAGTCAATAACTTCAATGGATATATGCAGTACACCTATTCTTGCAAGTGGATTTGACATAAAAAAAAAATGGGTATGAGATTGGTTGGCTCGCCGAGCTGGTTTGTTGTTCCGCAGACATTTCGTTACCATGCTTGGTAACATCCTCATTGCAGCCTCTGATGAAGCATTGGTGTGTTTTCCCGCCTGGTTTTTAAACTCTGGGGTCCGTTGCGATGGATTGCCTCACTTCCGGGTTTCCTCCGTAGTGGAATGTATATGGGGTCGAGTTCAATGTGTTTATTAATAGCCTGCTTCGTGGAGTGCCATGCTTCCAGGAATTCTCGTGCTTGTCTCTGCCTACCTGTCCCAGGATCTTTGGTGTTGTCCCAGTCGAAGTCGTGATTCTCCTTGTCCATGTGGATTGAGATGAGTGAGTATTGGTCGTGTCTTTTTGTAGCCAGTTGGTGTTCATGTACTCTTTGTTGTTAGTTTCCTTCCTGTTTGTCTGATGTAGTGTTTCTCGCAGTCTCTGCAGGGGATCTTGTAGATGACATTGGTCCTGTCCATGGCGGGGAGTGGGTCTTTAGTTCGGATGAGCACTTGTCGTAGGGTTGATGTGGGCTTGTGTGCCACTCTGATGCCCAGCGGTTGTATTGAACTTCAATAGTAACCATCCCAGCACACACAAACGAAGCTGCGTGCAAACACTATTTAAAAGGGCAACAACACACTGCAGCAACACGGAACTACACCAAGAGGAGGAGGAATAGCTCTTCCAAGTGTTCACGGATAATGGATATCCAAAGAACTGGGTCAGGAGATGCCTACAGGAACAGCATCAGAAAGATTCTACACTCCCCGACACACTCATCACATTACCCTACATCAGGGACACATCAGAACTCACCACAAGACTTCTATGACCGCTGGGCATCAGACTGGCACACATGCCCACATCAACCCTACGACAAGTGCTCACCCGAACTAAAGACCCACTCCCCGCCATGGACAGGACCAATGTCATCTACAAGATCCCCTGCAGAGACTGTGAGAAACACTACATCGGACAAACAGGAAGGAAACTAACAACAAGAGTACATGAACACCAACTGGCTACAAAAAGACACGACCAATACTCACTCATCTCAATCCACATGGACAAGGAGAACCACGACTTGGACTGGGACAACATCAAGATCCTGGGACAGGCTAGGCAGAGACAAGCACGAGAATTCCTGGAAGCATGGCATTCCACGAAGCAGGCTATTAATAAACACATTGAACTCAACCCCATATACGTTACACTATGAAGGAAACCCGGAAGTGAGGCAATCCATCGCAACGGACCCCGGAGTTTAAAAACTAGGCAGGAAAACACACCGACGCTTCATCAGAGGCTGCACTGTGGATGTTACCAAGCACGGTAACGAAACGTCTGCGGAACAACAAACCAGCTCAGTGAGCCAAGCAACCTCAACACCCACAACCCGAGCTACAGATCTACTCCAAAACCTTAAAAATGGGTATTGATCAATGAAATATTGTTTACAATGAAAATTATAAGATTACAGATTTATATTAAGCAAACATTAAGTATTGAAGTAAAATCGGAAATAAGAAAATACTTTATGGAAATATAGATGGGAGAAGTTGAAAAGGGTTGGAAATTTAAGTCATGGTATCATCTTTCCTGTCATGAAGCCAAACCTCAAGGGACAAACTAGTTAAAACAGCTGTTTAAAGTGCAGCTTTAGACTCCCTAATCAGACTATAAGTCAAGACATTACCTTTAAAAATAAAGATATTTGGAATAAAAATCATGAATTGCTACTTTCCCCCCAAATATCAACAAGTATGGGTTGACAATTCATTAAACTCACGGGTGGCTTATTTAATATCTAACAGGTTAGAAGATTTTTTGACAAGGAATGAGAGTGCATTTGAAAACGCTTTGTAAAGCCCTTTTTAAAAATTCCAGTCCATTGTTGTTGCTTTATTTCCTACCATTTCCTCCACCAGCTTACCAACAGAGTTAAATTGCTATGCTGGCAGCAATTGGCAATGAGGGCCCAGTCTGACTGGGATGTGGGGCTATTGGTAAGGCTTGATAAGGTTCTTGTGATGCAGTGGTAGTGTGGGTCAAAAGGCCCAGGTTCAAGTCTCAACTGCCCCGGACATGTTGTAAATATCCAAACAGACTGATTTAAAAACATCTACCGAGACCAATTTGAAGCCCAGGTTCCAAAGCTCCAAAGAACATTCACAAAACTCTGCTGTGTGTAGGAATCTGAGTGTCTCCGTACCTGAATCACAAAATGTTAGTACCGGATGCAGAGAAGATTTTTCTCCCTCAAGGGGAAATGAAATAGGGGACACTGTTTAACCATTTTTATACTTTTATTCATTCATGGAATGAGGGTGCGGCCAGCATTTGTTGCCTATATCTAATTGCCCAGAGGGCAGTTAAGAGTCAACCACATTGCTGTGGGGCTGGAGTCACATGTAGTTCAGTCCAGACAAGGATGGCAGTTTCCTTCCATAAAGGGCATTAGTGAACCTGATGGGTTATTAGAGAAGGGTCTTTTTTTTTTTTCCCCTCGGAGTTGTTGGTCTGTGAAATTCTCTGTCCCACACAGCAGTGCAGTCTTGGTCATTGGCATTTTTTAAGCGGCGTTAGATCTTGATTGACAAGGCAATCAGTGAGGGTAGGGGTAGACAGGAAAATGGAGTTCATGCCGCAATCAGTTTAGCCATGATCTTATCAAATGTCAAAGCAGTTTCAAGGGGCCGAATGGCCTACTCCTGTTCCTAATTAAAATGTTTCTTGTATAGCTGGTCAGATCCTTCTTAGTGCTCCAATTCTGCCAAACCCCACCTCCCAGCAAAATATGATTCTTCTAAGGTGGAGAATAAATTTAAGGGAAAGGAAAGTTGGTAGTGGTGACCCATCCATAATTAGACCAGAAACATGACTAAAACCAGAGGTGCTCATTTGAAGGGCAGGGTTTCTTGTCATCTGACTCAGCTGAACATAATGGACTAAGAATAAATTGCTTCAATCTTCAAATACTCCTGGCACCTCTTTCCCCTCCTTTCTCAAAAAAGTAGAATTGAGCTATTCCCACAATCAGCACATTGTGCATTCAAACAATGGTTCCTTAAAATAGAAACAGACAATGAGTGCGAGGACCAGAAATTATATTCCTTTTAAAGGAAGAAATGGCGAGGATAGCAATATCACAGTGATAGTTTTAAATTTAAGTGTTAACTAATAAAGATTACATTGCACGTAGCAGTGTTCACAATTAATAGCAATGATTTTTACAATTTTTTTCAATGTTTTGTGAACTACAATCACAGTGTTTGCTTCATGTGGATTTAAAAATCCCACTTTTCTAAAACTGGGGGAACAATAACTTTTTTTAAATAGCTGTGAAATCTTAGTCAGCTGTGAGTCTTTTGGAGATATTGTAATTATTGGATTACCTTTCTTTAAGAATGTAAATTTTGTCGATGCATCAAATGCTTACTTTTGGAGGGAGGATTATGCAGAAAGACATTACCCTTAATGTCCTGATTCCTTGATTGTGTGTGTGTTTGTTATTTCCAGCTACAGATTGAAGAATACGGAGGCCTCAAACCAGGAAGCTAAACCGAAGCTCTCGCTTTTTGATGAGGACGTAGATGCTGACGCTAGCCTTTTTGAGCCAGTGAAAAATTTCACTACCCCAGCCATGAAGAAATCCTTTTTGAATGATGGTGAGTTTCGACTTAGGAGCTAACAGTTACATTTACTGCCTCCTTTTCATGGATGTGGAATGCCTGCAGTTGTCCTGATGGAGATTGTACATGTTCATTTCCAACGTACATCTGTATGCTATTCTTAATGCCACTATTGACTTGTTTTATTTGAAGTTAGTTCAATATCATTTATCCACTGAGATCACCACAAGTGATCAGCCTCATGACTGTTCCAATGAGACATCTGTCACTTAATTAAGACTTCACTGGATGATCTGTATTGCAGGAACAGCTCATCCTGAAATCTTGTTGCTGAATTGCCAGATTATCTGAGGGAGCAGATATTTTCTTGCAGGCTTAACCAACATTTTTAAAGAATTTTTGCTTTGATAATTTACAGTGCAAACTTATTATTTGAGGTATATAAATAAGACATGACCATTTACGACTGTGTTATTGATATTAATGCTGGACAAGTATCTATAATACAACTTATTCATGATGTTTTATCCACTCGAGTCGCCAGATTTTAACTTGGTGAAAGTTCAGAACATATTGCTTGAAGTTGGGATAGAAATTGGTTGCAGTCATTTCATGGTACATTAACTACTACATGCAGTTAGTGAATGCATCAATTATGAAGTCAAAGGTTCACCTGAAATTCGGGTCTTCTTTTGCTCATGTGACTGAGTTGTTGACCTCCTGTTCCTATGAGCATATGTATTAGGAGCAGGGTAGTACATTTGGATCCTGAATCCACTCCACCATTCAATAAGACAGAGCTGTACAAGGTAGAAACAGACCCTTTGGTCCGACTTGTCCATGCTGACCTTATCTCCTAAATTAATCTAGACCCATGTGCCAGCATTTGGCCCATATGCCTCTAAACCCTTCCTATTCCTAAAGACATCCAGATGTCTTTTAAATGTTGGAGTTGTAGCAGCCTCCACTATTTCCTCTGGCAACTCATTACGTACATGCACTATCCTCTGTGTGAAAATGTTGCCTCTTGGGTCCCTTTTAAATCTTTCCCGTCTCACTTTAAATCTATGCCCCTCTAGTTCTGGACTCTGCCCCCACCCTGGGAAAAAGACCTTGACTATTCATGCTCCTCATGATTTTGTAAACCTCTATAAGGTCATCCCTCAGCCTCCGACACTCCAGGCAAAATAGCCCCAGCCTACTCACCCTCTCCCTATAGCTCAAACCCTCCAACCCCGGCAACATCCTTGTAAATCTTTTCTGAACCTTTTCAAGTTTCACAACATCCTTCCTAGAGCAGGGAGACCAGAATTGCACGCAGTATTCCAAATGTGGCCTAACTAATGTCCTGTACAGCCAGAACATGACCTCCTAACTCCTAAACTCAATCCACTGACCAATAAAGGCAAGCATACCAAACGCCACCTTCAATATCCTGTCTATTTGTGATTCCACTTTCAAAGAGCTATGAACCTGCACTCCAAGATCTGTTTGTTCAGCAACACTTCCCCAGGACCTTACCATTTAAGTGTATAAGTCCTGCCCTGCTTTATCTTTTGCAAAATGCAGCACCTCACATTTACCTAAATTACCCTAAAGATCATGCCTGATCTGATTTCCATCTGGACTCTGCGTTCCTGCCTGCTCCCAATATCTTTTGACTGCCTTGTTCATCAAGAATCTATCGACCACTGCAATATTTTCTTTATTCACTCATGGGACACGAGCATTGCTGGCTGACCAGGTGCCCCTACCCACCTAGTTGTTCCTTGAGAAGATGGTGGTGAACTGCCACAGTCCACATGCTGTAGGTAGACCCACAACGTATTGTGGGGGGGGGCTGCTTTTCAGGATTTTGACCCACTGACACTGGAGGAAGGGTGATATATTTCCAATTCAGGGTGGCCAGCGGCTTGGAGGGGAGTTTGCATGGAGTGGCGTTCCTCTATTATCTGCTGCCCTTGTCCTCCTTGAATGATCTCTGATTCTCTTGGGGGGAGAAATCTCCAAAGATTCATAACCCATTGAGGGGAAAGTGTCCTCATCCGTATTAAATGTGAGACATCTTTTTAAACTGCATTCCCTAGTTCTAGTCTCTTCCCCCAAGGGAACATCCTTTCAGCATCCAGCCCGTCAAGTTTTGTCTGTATCTAATGTTGTAATAAGATCGCCTATCATTCTTCTCAACACTAATAGATACTGTCACCTACATGCCCATATGATTAATCCCCTCCCAGGTATCAGTTGATATCTCCAAAAGGTAGCTCACTCATTTTATAAGATCTTATTTGGACTATTTATCTCATCAGCAATGACTCGAGTAAATTTTGGGGTTTACAGGCAGCGCCAGTGGAAAGGTAAGGGATGAGTACCAATCCTGGACCAGCAGCAATCTTTGGGAGTTGTGTAAAACTGATAAGAGGACAAGCCTTAAAAAGAAATGTAATGAGGCCTCTTGCTAGGTGGGAAAACCAGCGGAAACGAGCATAATGCAAGCTTCCTTTGAGGCATTCCGTTTAGCAGAGGGGCCCTAACTGTCATCATAATGCTCTTTTATATATGTACATGACCATCTTAGGTAACCAGTAAAGGCATCTGCAAATATACCTTGTAGATATTGTAGTGCCTGTGAAGTAGGTGCAGAATGACACATGTATCATGGTCCAACTTAGATGCAAATTGTACCAGTTCTTCATTGGAAAAATGGGTGACCAAGGCCCAGTTTCTTCCTCCTCGTGGTCAAGATCACCCTGGTCTAAGGGATGTAACTTTCTCATAATGTAACATGTCGCAGTTACATTGCCCGTCTCTGATACATCAGTGTCTAGAAGGTCTCGCTCCAGCTCATTGACTCTGACTCTGACTCTGAGTCAAATTTCCTCAGGCTATAGGTCCTTGAATTGTTACATAATTGCCTTGGAGTATATTGGCATCCATGAGCCCTCACACAATGCTGCTATAAGACATCACCTGCCCTACCATCTTTTATAGTGTTTCAATTAAATAACTATTATACAAATTAATAATGCCTCTAGACCTGTCTGTGCGCTTACTATTACCCTGTTTAACATCACATCCACTGGCTGTAGATTCCATCTGAACTGCATTGAAATGTCAATCTAAGTTATACACCCAAAACCCTAAAATTGGATTTAAACCTTTGACCCTCTGACTTGAGGAAGGGTACTACCACTAAATCAGACTAATAACCCCAGCTTCACCCATCAGCTTGATCAAAACCCCTTTGTACACGTTACCATGGTATATTTTCCTTCAATTCTTAATCTCCAAAACACAGTTGCAATGAAATTAAAATATATACACACCAGGACTCCATATTTTAGAGACATTTTTTGCACATGAGATAACAAAATGTGTCACCTTCAACATATGTAAAGCATATATTAAACTTGAAGGGCTTTTTTTCTAAGATAGCAAGATGTAG